AAATACCCAGCAGGGGAATAGCTGGGTCAAATGGGACTTCCAGTCCTAGTTCTTTGAGGTATCTCCATACTGATTTCCATAGTGGTTGCACAAGGCTGCACTCCTACCAGCAGTGGAGCAGTATTCCTCTTTCCCCCACAGCCCCACTAGCATTAATTATTGGTTGATTTCATGATAGCACCATTCTTTCTGGGGTGAGGTGGAATCTCAGCATTGTTTTCATTTGCATCTCTCAGATGACCAGTGATGTTGAGCGTTTTTTCATATGTTTATTTGCTATTTCTACTTCCTTGTCTGAGTGTTCATTTCAGATGCCCATTTTTGGAATGGGTCTTTAAATTTGGGAGGTCTCATTTTAAGTTCTTTACAGATTCAAGATAGTAGACCTTTGTTTAAGGAACAGCGGGTGAAAGTTTTTTCCCACACTGTGGGTTGTCTCTTCACACTGTTGGTGGTTTCTCTTACTGGGAAGCTTTTTAATAAGAAGAAATCCCACTTTTTGACTGTTTGTGCTAGTTCATATGCAACTCAGATTTTGTTCATGAAATCTTTTCCTGCACTAATGTCGAGTGTGACCTAACCTCTGTTCCAGCCAGTTCAATGTTTCTGTTTTAATATTTATATCTTTAATACATTCTGATTTTAGTTTAGTGCATGGTGAGAGATACAGGTCTAGTTTTAATCTTTGGCACATTGCCCAATTTCTCCAGCACCGTTTATTAAAGAGGCTATCTTTCCTCCAGTAAGGGTTTTTGGCTCCTTTGTCAAAGATGAGATGGCTGAGTGTATCTGGAGTTGTTTCTGCATCTTCTAATCTGTTTCACTGGTCCTCAGGCCTGATTCTTTGCAAGTACCATGCTGTCTCTATCACAGTAGCTTTGTAGTATAGTTTCAAGTTGTGCATTGTGATACCCCCTGCCATGTCTCTGTTGGCTAGAATTGCTTTTGCTATTCTAGATCTCTTCTTCTTCCAAATGAATTTTTGGGTTGTTTTCTCAAGGTCCGTGAAGTATGCTGCTGGGATTTCAATTGGGATTGCATTGTATCTATATAGCAGTTTTGTAAGTATGGCTATTTTCACTATGTTAATTCTTCCTACCCAGGAGCAAGGGATGTCTTTCCATTTTCTGATATAGTCTTCAATCTCTCTTTTCAAAGTGCTATAGTTTTCAGAGTAGAGGTCTTTGATTTCTTTTGTTAGGTTGATTTCTAGGTATTTCAGTTTTTTGGATGCTATTATGAAAGGAATTGTTTGCCCCATTTCTCTCTCAGTGTCTGTTGTTCCTGTAGAGGAAAGCTACTGATTTTTGTGTGTTTACCTTGTATCCAGCTACTTGACTGAATTTAGTTATGAAGTCTAGGAGACTTTTGGTGGAGTTCTTGGGGTCTTCTATATAGAGTATCATGTCATCTGCAAATAATGACAATTTGA